AAGTACCTTTCTGAATCGACGGACGGCAACCTCGCTCCGCGGATAGAACGATCAGAAGACAACGATGAAGGCGGACGGCGAGTCGGCGACCTCCTCTTTCTCAGATCGAAACTCCAGGGGCGAACGATAAAGGCAACATCCTCTTCCTCCGATGAGGTCGAACGAAGGACGAACGATGGTCTTTAGTTGCTGGGGAGGCCAAATCGGCAGTGGTCTCTGGTCGTTGGGAAGGACGAATCGTTGAGAGGAGGAAGACAGAGAGCGACCAAAGGAGGCTGAATCGAGAAAGACGAGAGTTGCTGCGAGACTTAGGGTTTCTGTATTCCTTTTCTTTTCTTTAAATTTAAATTTAAATTTTGTTTTTGTTTAATCTTATGTAAAAAAACAACGTTGTTTTGTTTAAATAAAGAGACTCCCGGTTTTATTAAAACCAGCCAAAATTTTGGGTGTGTGCGGTTCAACCAGGAATACCGGCCGACCGCACATTTTGTTATACAAAGCACATACCATGTCGGATTTGGCCCGGTTTTTGGTTTTTTCCGGTCTGGTCGGTCGATCCGGTACGGTATCCTGGTCACTACTGTTTTCATAAGCAAATTTTTCCCGAGAGATTTTCGGCCGAAAGAAAGAAAATGTGTTTTCTTCTTCATTAATTATTCCTCTCTACAAATGCATAAAAGAAAAATAAAGTCGTGCGACTTCTCGTCGTTTGTTGCGTACGCTGGTTTCTGGGGTTTCAAATACCGGTACGCCAAAAAAGTTGCGTCTGTTCTATCCTGGGAGGAATAGTTCCATTAACCTTGGGTACCGTAGAGGGGAACTAAATTCTTTTAGGAGAAATAGTGAATTTTATTGGCTCGGATGGTGTTTATGCATGTTTTTGTCGAGTCTTGATTTCTTTTCTTTAACCTTTCGTTACTTGGATTTCTTTATGTGATTTGTGTTGCAAGAAACATGGTATATGTGAACAATAACCACAACATTCATCACTTCTTTTGATTGGTTTCTCCACTTTGTAGGAGCTTTCCCACATGTAAGGGTACTTCTCCGTTAACAACATCATTTCTTGCTCCAACAGTGGCAAAGAATGACCTTCTAAAGAGGATTGAATACTTTGCTTGTCTCCATGTCAATCATGACGTAGTTGGGGAAGGAAATGAATAGGCTAACTTAGATGCTTAAGTCTCGAACAACTCCAAAAGCTCTCCAAAGGGTGTTGTTGGTTAGCATGATCTCTACGTTGACGTACTCATTGTTGGATAGTCTCATCTCTTCATATGTTCTATAGTGGTGGTATGTTGACACTTGAGCCAAAGTCAATTAGACCTTTTTCACGTGATGGTCATCCATAGGACATTTGATGATGTAGTGCCAAGGATCTTTTTTGCTTCATTGACTAGAACGAATTCTTTGTAACCCTAAGAAATTTTCTTGATCGTGGCCTCCTTAATTATCTTTGACCCTGTCATCTTCCTGCATGAAAACGCTTCTATCATATTTGTGAAGAGGGATGGATACTCAGCTTTTTTCTTCTCTTTTTCCTTTTCTTTTCTCGAAATACATTGACAATGAATATTATTTTGTAGAGTACAACAAACTCATTCCATCTATGAAAAAAAATGAAATTTATGTTGGAAGGAAGAAGATAACATTCGATTAAAAAACTAAAGAAAATAATAAAAAAACTTTATTTGACAACCATTAGATTTGAGTGCCACTTAAAATGAAGGTTCAAATATTATTACGCAAGCTTATATAGTGACACTATCCCGCGTTTAACCGTCTAGAGTTTAACTTTTATCCCACTAGGGAGTAGGGAGTCCACTTTTATATATCAGTTCAATGTTATTGCCCTAGCCCAGTTAAAGAGTGGAGCGATCCCAATTGATGGGCTTTCAGGATTTGAAAACCCTGGCCCAAGTCCAAGCCATGACAGTCCGTCCAAACTTTTGCCAGCCTTTCCCTGCCTTGCACAACGAATTGCATCATCTTATTACAACCTGATTATTAACTCTTAATAGTATATATATATATAAAAAAAGAAAACAAATAAAATTGCATCATGCATCTTCCTCAAATAAGAAAGGAAACGAAATAAATTACCTCAGCTTATACCATCGATACCACTCTGAGCATGACGAGGAGACTGATATGATCCACACTAAATACTATATTTTATTTTTGGTACCTTTTTTAAATAGTTTTGTGAGAATGTCTTGCTTTGAAATTGTAATTTAATTGAGAATCCGATAGCAACAAAAAAACAAATATAGTAATAAGTAGATATAGTGTTGGATAATAACTTGTTTTTAGGGTTATAGATATAATATGTCTCTCTACTATGTAGTTTTATCAAACATGCCCCTCTATTATTTTTTACATCAAACATGCCTTTATACTTTGGAAAATTATCAAATATGTCATTATGTTAAAATTTCCATTAAAAATGGTCAAACAGGGTTGAACCGAGATTCACACGACCCGATATCGAAAAAATTGGGGATGAAATGTCAGTTTTTCCTCCTCATTTATATCTCCAAGTCTCGTTAAAGTGAAATTATCAGAGGTATTTGGCTATACAAAAGAAACAAAACATTTCTAAAGTAAAATTATTAGGAATATTTTAGACATAGGTGTCGCCCAAACTAAGGTTCGACCATGGTTGATGGTTTTGAATGCAAATTTTAACAGAAGGACATGTTTGATCGTTTTTACAAAGTATAGGGGCATGTTCCCTACTAAAATATAGTAGGGACATGTTTGATAAAGGGCATTGCTATTCGTCGCCCTAAAATACCTTATTTGTCGCCCTAACTTTTGTTAAAATGACTCTAATGTCCTTTGTTTAAGTTTTGTTTCATAATCCGTCAGCGACTGCAAGCGACCGGTCAGCTGGTCAGGTACCTGTCCCAGCTCGCCGGCGACGGGATTTCAACCTGTCCGACGCCGACCAACAAAAAAAAAACACAAAAAATGCAATCCTCTATTGTGCTGCGTCTTTTTCTTCCTTCAGGCGGCGATCCGTGCAGGTGAATAAACCCATTTAGAAATCGTTGGCCGTAAGTTCAATTTCACCAAAGCCAAGACTTTCCTGGGCTATTTCTCTCTTTGGTTGCCCTCTTCTTGTCGAGACATCTGCTCCGACCTCCATTCCTTGTTATTTCCTTAACCAACTACAATTCCCATCTTAATTGTGCATAATTGAGTCTCTCAATATCTCTTATTTATTGACCGATTCTCTCGCCAGTGTCTGGGAATCCCAAGCCATCACTTCGCTAAATTTTCCGGCCAAGTTTCCCCGACTCCACTTCCACGTTCCCAGCTGCATCATTCTCTGTTTTGGATAAATCGCTCTCTCCTTCCTTCTTCTTCGCCCTCCTCCCTCCTCCTGGTCGACAGCAACGACAAATATTAGCGGCGGCGGGGAGCGACTCCGGCGGCGACTAATGACCTTCTTCATCCTCCTTTGTTGGCAGCAGGGACCGAACGAGAGGAATACTTGGGTGGCCGACGGCGACATTTTCCCCGGTTTAGGTTAGAATTGATATTAGGGGTAAATGTGTCAATTAAGTGTATTTTAGGGCGAATTTTTTTGAATTTTAGGACGACGAATAGCGATTCAGTTGATAAAACTGCATAGTAGAGGGTCATATTATACCTATAACCCCTTATTTTTAACTTGATAATTTATACGGAAGGTTTGACCACCTGGGCGAGAAGGAGATGAAGAAGAACTAAATTAATGGCTTCTCCAACGGTTACAGCCCAATCCCTCCACCATTTATTCCCCAAAAACTAAAAAAAGCACAAATATGAAAACTTAGTAAATGAAATCCAATAATTACAACATATTAATTAATTAGCATTAATTGCTTAACTCTTGAAATTACCAAACTCACCCATATATATATTTCCATGTGATTAATCATATATATTAATGCTCCAGCATTTCTCATGAGGTAAAACTAATACCAAGTACACAAAATATATAATTTGAAGTCACATTGAGGCTCTTTTAATATCAATTAATCAAAACAAGCAAAATATATAGTGGCTAAATACTTATATTTGAAATTTAGAAATATATAGTGCGCTGAGTCTAGGGAATACTTGAAAATTTACAACTGCTTACATATATATGATTTGTGTACGTGTTGACTCATTTGGGAATGGTGAAGAAGAAAGGATTTAGTCGGTAATGATGCCCATAATAACAATAATTATTATGATCAAGCAGCTGAAATAGGGCCCTTTTTTCATTTCATTTTATTTACTTGACTTGACTTGACTCCCCCTGATTTTACTTTTGGTCGGAGGGAGGAAGTTGAGGAGCTGAGCCATCTTCAAACGTGAGCCGTGCGATGGGGAGAGAGATCGACGGCTGAGGAGGTGGCAAGGCATATGAGAAGCCTATAACCCAGCCTTCCCACTCAATTCATTCTCAGCTCACTCCCTCCCCTTCCTCCATTATTACCAGCTCTCTCCACTCCCTTAATTCACCTCAATCTCATCTCTTTCTTTCTTTCTTTCTTTTCCCACCTTGTAATCATCATCATCATCGTCATACAGAAACCTGTCCTCTCCCAATCATGGAGGAAGAAGGCGGCGCGGGGTTTGGGTACGGAAGGAACAACCCCGTTGTCATGAATTCCTCCTCTTCCTCTGCGACGGTTTACCGGACAATTACTCCGCCACCGCTCACCGCCATCGACAGGTTCTTGTGGGGCCCCCAGGCCCGAGGCGGCAACAGCAGCAGCAGCAATAACATCAATCAGCAAACCCATTTCCCACAGCAGCAGCTCATCACCACGACAACAAAAGAAGCGCCGCCGCTCAACGGGTTTCTTTACGGCTACAGTGATAATAATAACAACAACAACAACAACAACAACAACAATTCGTCGAATCCGTCGTCGTTTTTGTCACCGGCTGGGTTCCCTTGGTCGGCTGCCATGAGCTTCGGAGATGAGGACTGCGGGGGGCTGGGGATTGACTGGATGATGCTCGGCAGTACCCACGATGATGGCGGCGTCGTTGCTAAGGCGGGTGGCGACGAGGAAGGGGGGAAAGGCGGCGGCGGGAAGAAGGCGGGGAAGAAGCAGCCGTCGTCGGCTTCTGCCGCTTTGATCAAAGGCCAGTGGACTGAAGAAGAAGATAGGTACGTTGGCTAGCTAGCTGGCTAGGTGTGATTTTTTTTTTTTTTACCATTTTTGGTGGGTTTTTTTGTTTCTGTTTCTGTTGATATTTTGTAATGAAAAAAAAAAAAAAAAAAAAACAGGAAGCTGATAAGGCTGGTGAAGCAATTCGGGATAAGGAAATGGGCGCAGATAGCTGAGAGGCTTGCTGGGAGGGCTGGTAAGCAGTGCAGGGAGAGGTGGCACAACCATTTGCGCCCAGATATCAAGGTCTCTTTTTCTCCCTTCGTTTTGCCATTTTAGGGTTGAATCTGCTAGCTGGAGAATTCGATCTATTTCTTCTTCGTTTGTTGATGGTCATTACGGAATTTTTCTCGATATGGTAGATTGATAGAGTCGAAACCACAAGCATATCGTGTCCAAATCTCTTATATCTTGCTACTTGTGTTATTTTTATCATTTCTTCTTTAAATCCACTTTGATTTCCATTTATATTAGCAAGAAATTCGTTAACGAGTTCGAGTGATAATCTTTCTTATTTATCGTTGAACACCAAAATATTTTCCTCAAAATGATAGTTAAAAAAATTCCGAACACATGAATAGAATCCATACTTTACTACTTGAAGCTCCTCCATTTTAGCTAAGAATTCCTTTCATTTTCCTTGGCCAATCGGAATATCTCTCCCTTGCAATAATCTCTACTTCGTTTGTTAGATTGGGGGAACTTTGCCCCTTTCCCAACCCAAAATCTAGGTATCGAAAACCATGCAAAATTGTGTTTTTTCCCCCTTTCTCCTAGTATGTTTCTGTTTTCTCCCCCGGCTTTCAGCAATCTCCTTTTCAATTCTGTCCTTGCGTGGAGAGCAACTAACTAACTCATTGATGCCAGGTTTGCATGTTTCTTTCTCCTAATGATTTTTGTTTTGTTTCAATTTGCGTCCCTTTTGTTTTCTGTCCTTTGCATGTAGAGAGTGCAGCTCATTGATAACATAAAAAGAGTCAAATTTCTACTGGAGTTGATGATCAACAGCTTGAGTTGTTTTTCATGTGATTTGCTTCGTTTTTATATTTTGATTCGTCCTAACCGTTCTCTTCATCTAATTTTTAAGAATAAAGATAACTATTTTACCTTATTTCCTTTTTTATATGAAAACTCTTTTCTTCTTACTTTTGTCGTTCACTTCCCGTCACGTTAATTTTGCTTCTTCATTGTAACTACCGATTCGTTACCAAAACATGTGAATTGATACAGTGTGTACTCGAGTTCAATCCTTTTCACAACCATTCATTTTGAGGAAAATTTCTCATAGCAACTGATAGGGGTTTGCACGTTCGAATCGTCCAGTCAGTTTCATAAAACTTTCAAAGTATTCATATGAGAGTCGGCATTGTCTGAGACTTGGAACTTATGCACCAGTAGTGTGACTTGTAGAATTGAGGTGTCTTTTTATTTTGTTTATGCAGAAGGACGGTTGGAGTGAAGAGGAGGAGCGGATACTAGTAGACGCCCATGCAAAGATAGGGAACCGGTGGGCAGAAATCGCCAAGCTGATTCAGGGAAGGACCGAGAACGCCATCAAGAATCACTGGAACGCCACCAAGCGCCGCCAGAACTCACGCCGGAAGCAAACCTCCGCCAAGTCATCAACGCCACCCGACAACGACAACGACAACAACAACAATGGCAAAACTCAGTCGTCCTCATCCATCCTCCAAGACTACATCCGCAGCAAAACCCTGGAACTCGCCCAAACCACTGTGGTCGGCGCTAGTAGCAGTACTACATCCTCCGCCGGCGCCGCCCAAGGATCCCTCCTCCCCTCCCTGTCCGAGTCAGCAGCATCAGACGACTCCACCACTCTCATCACCCACACCTACGACGACGAGCTCCTCTTCATGCAGAACCTGTTTGCCACCAAGGAGCCTTCCCCTTCCCCTTCCCCGTCGGTAATAACTCTCTATGATCATGACAATGCCGTCGCTTCTGCCAACGATGACGTGGACGGTGCAGAGATGAAGCCTTATAGTGCTGCTGCTGCTGCCATGGAGAGTAGTAACGGCCGCCACCTTTATGCGGATCTGTACCTGTACGATCTCTTGAACGGAGGAGCAATGTATGCATCCAGCTCCTCGTCGTTGGTTGCTGACGCTGTTGTGGGCTGCGGTGGAGTGGAGAACGGGGCTGGTGAGGGGAAGAAGGAGATGGACTTGATTGAGATGCTTTCGTTTACTTCGGCCGGCTTGAACAGCAGGTAGTTTTTTTTTTATGACTCGGATGCTGAGCTGACTCAGCAGATGGGTTGTTGTCGTGGGGAATAGGGCTGTTGTTGGTTGGTTTTATTTAACTTCAATTAGTTGATGATTGGGAAATTTGCAAAGAGATTTAGGGTTTGTTTGCTGTGAAAACCTGCTCATCAGGGGAACTCATTTCACTGTTGGTTTCCGTTGGATTTTTAACCGTTGGATAAGTGCATGTTGGTGTGGACATATTAACGACGAAATGGAGAGGAAAGTTTTTTTGGTCGGTGAAGAAGATGAGAATGACATGGTTTGGTTTGTTCACTTCTGGGTTCTGGCGACAAGTGGTGTGTGCAGCTAGGGTTTCACTGGGTTTCTCATCTTACGGCTTTCAAGATGTTTTGTCATTTTAGTCTGCTCTTTTTCTAACAACTTCTGACTCAACTTTTTTCTTTCCTCATTTTTGGATCTTCTTATCACTTAACTTGGATGGGTTTGTGTACTGTAGATGACAAACAATTTCAAACACAAATGTACTGTTGATCAATGGAGTTTCTAAATTTCTCCAACAATATTAACCAAGATCTTGGGCACTTATTTCTCATAGTTAGATTTTGATTACTTTCTATTTCAGCAACGGAAGGAAAGTTATAATTTTTACATATTGACCAGTTTATCTCTAATTTTGGTATAAGATCATACTTAATTTATTCTCAATAAACTAAAAATTATTGAGAATAAACTAATATTATTTTTTTCTTCGGAAAAACATATTTTTGTGCTATAAAAAATTCCCATTATGCACCAAAATCAACTTTTAAAAAACAAGAATTTTCTCTCACAAGTAGAACCAATAACGCCCCACCAACTAGGGCTGGGCATGCGGGCGGATCATCCGCGGATTTGGACCGACCCACCCGCATTTGACCCGAATTTCGTTAAGTGGATGGGTCAGTGGGTGGGTGACGGGTTGAGCTGGGAGCCATCCGCCGGGTGGTGGGTGGGTTGTGGGTGAGTGTGCGGGTGACCCGCTCAACCCAACAGCAAAAAGATCAAAGTTGTTGGCGCTAGAGAGAGGAGAGTGTAGACTTTAGATATAAACTCGGACTGCTCCTCGAGTTTGAACCTCAAAGCCAACCTTCCAAATAGAGATCCCCTCTTCTTCCCTTTACTTTTTCCTCTAATTCTCGTGCCTTGATCACCGCTCTTTCCTTTGTGGAATTATTTTCCTTAGTTTCTTGCACCTAATAATCGTCTAGTTTCTTGCACCTAATAATCGTCTCAATCTGTAGAAAACTCTTTCATAATAGAATTTCTATCCAATTTAAGAACTAATTCAACATTTTTCGCCCTATTTCAACTTCTTGTTTCCCTCGATGATTCTCTTCACCTATTATCATGTCAAGTTGACTCCTTTATATTATATACATTGTGATGTGGGTGAACCCACAAACCCACCCGCATCATCCACCATCCGCCCGACCCAACCCGAGACTAAATGTGGGTGGGTGGTGGGTTAGAAATTATCAATCCGTGTAAGCGCGGGTGGGTGCATTTTATGGTCAAAATCCACCCGACCCACCCAATGCCCACCCCTACCACCAACGCTGCTTGCTCACAAAATCTGACCCTAAAAAACAATGTAAATTAAAGAAGAGCAAACAATAACTTTCGGCCTAACAGAAGTGTAAATCGACTGTTGCTAAGATCTACATGATTTATCAGCTAAGAACGATGAGCCATATATACAATCATACTGTGCTTTGGAATCCAAAAATTCTAATAGTCTAGGGTTATGCTAGTGAACCAAGGTATAAGCATTGCACATATGTTTCCAATGATCTTCCCAATGAATGAAGCACATAACCCGTACGTACCTGAGGTACAAGCAACAGCCTACATTACGCACTTGAGTTTTGAAAAGTTGAAAACATGACTTGTTAATAAAATTCTAGCATGAAAACATGACTTGTTAATAAAATTCGAGCATGCTCGAAGTGTGCAACGGTTCGGTCCAATTCGAACCAAGCCAAATTTACGAGAATTGTATTTTAATACAGAAAGATATGGTAAGATTAAGGATCATATCAATATTGTATTTGGTATATGATTTGGTTCAGTCTGGTCCGGTCCAAATATCAATTCGATTAATTTTTCTTTCGTATTTATAAATTTCATGGGACCAAGTACAAGACAACATTATAGTCGGTTCGATATGGTCCAATCCAAACATCAGTTTGTCCTAGTAAATACGGACCAACCATTTATTCACCCCACTCAACTTCACCCATTTCAGGCTGGAAGGACACCAGTTCTCATGATATATAAATGGTGAGATATTTTACAATGTTATATAGTATTGATACTATAGGTTTTTACCTTTATGATACAACTTAAAATTGTACATTTACGTTATGGTACAACTTCATATTGTACCTATACTTTTTGTACAAATTCTTTTATGGTACAACTTGAACTTGCTACCTTTATGTGTACTTCAAGTTGTAAAGTTGTATAATAACATAATGGTACAAATTGCTTTATAGTACAACCTAAACTTATACATTTAATGTTATGGTACAACTTTGAGTTGTACATTAAAGCACCAATTCTATATAGCATAATAGAAGTGCTAATAAGTTGTACATTAAAGCACCAATGCTATATAGCATAATAGAAGTGCTCATAAAGTTATATCTTGAAATGCAAATTCGAAGAATTGGTAAGAAAGGAAGGTGGAAAGAAGTTTTTGTAGGTATTTCTGGAAGTAAAATCACACCATGTAAGGAAGTGGTTAGTTGGAACTTGGAAGTCCATAAACTAACAGTAATTGATTGTGCTTTTGGATAAGTATATTTTAAATGCATGTCTTCAAAATATGAGTATAAAGTTATCAATTTGAAATATATGTATTTGAAATTCAAACTCATTTTTTGTATATTACGCAAATTTTATGTATTTGAATTTATTTTATTTATTATATTTGATGCATAAACTTATTAGGTCTTACAATTTATTACCTGAAATTCAATGAAATTATAAAGATGCCTCAAAATTGGGTGAAAATTTACATTTTCATATATAGAAATTGTTGTTTGCATATTATAGTACTTACACTTTAAAAGTTTAAAAACAAGTCTCATTTATATGCTTGATGAGTTTCAAATCACAACTTTGGTGGTCTGACTTTGAACCACAAATAATACACTAAATATGTGTTTCAAATACTAAATATCATATATAAATCCTCACCTTACACTTTGTTTCCGAGATGGGAAGAAAGGAGAGAATACAAAATTTTGAGGGGAATGAAATTTTGGGGGAAAGGGAAATAGTAGGAGAATATGGTGTTTTTTGGTGTAACGTGATAGGAAAAGTAAGAGGGAAAAATTAAATAAAAAATGTGGTAAATATTTTTCTCAAAATGTGATAGATATGTTATTTTATTAATAATGTAATAATAAAATAACAAATTTAATAGTATTTTCATCAATTATAAGTTGTGAAACTGTTTTTATGTTCACTATCTTTTTTGTCACTAGAAAATAAAACTAGACAATTTGGAAAAAAATTCTCGAAATAACACAATTTTCTATTCATGTTACATTACGTGACATCTTCGTCATTCATATCCTTAAAATTACTTGAAAGTAGCAGTTTATGCAATTCATTTTTTCATTGATATATCATAATAAAAAGAGTAAATTGCAAGTTTGGTAACTGAGTTTACTAAAATGTTCATGTTTAGTCACTAGAAATATTTAATTCCATTCTTGGTCACTAAAATTAGTTAAGTAGTTCAAGTTTGGTCACTCTCCATCCATTTCCATTATCTTTATCTTACGCGGCGGTCAACTCTCATAGTTGACCGTTAAATGAGTGAAGTGTTAATTAAAAAATAAAATTTTAAATTTTAAATTTTAAAATTTCCAACACATTATCCCAACTATTAAGAAATTAAAAAAAAAAAATATTACCTTTTAATTCCTAAACCACCTCACCCAACCCTACCCCTCCGGCGTTAACTCTCCTTCCTTCCCGCAAATTGCTACCTTCCCCCTAATCTCACAACTCCGCCACCAGTCCACCACCTGCACCTCTACTTCCTTTTCCTTTTGCTCCACAAACTACTACTCGTTACCCTCACAACTCCTTGCCTTCCATGGATCAATCGAGAGCTTCATCCAATCATTCCAGCAGTATCTAGAAACAGTTCCTTTTCCTTTCGCTCCACAAACTACTACATGTTCCCCTCACAACTCCTTGCCTTCCATAGATCAATCGGGAGCTTCATCGAATCGTTCCAGCTGTATCTAGAAACAGAGCAGGCGAAACCCTCTATTACGTCGGTCATGCGTTGTTTCCCACCACCAACTGTTTATTCAATCTCCGGATGCCACCGCCGCGTCGACGACATCATCTCCAAGAATCAATTTTTCGTTTCCATTACCCGCCGCCGTATCCCCTCCTTTCTGTTCTTCTTGTTGTAGATTTAGGAAACCCTATCCCAAACAAATCAAAACTTTCCCAATCGTCTTTCCACATTCCCCAAATTCCAGCAGCCTCAATATGACTCCAGAACGAGAACCCACTCGAAGAAATGTTCTCCTCGCGTTCACTTCTACCTACGACGGTCGTCAGTTAATAAAGGAGAGGCGGCACCATGACGATGCCGACTAGATATTGGTGTATGTGGATGAATTTAGCTTAGCAACACCATGATGTCAAATTTTCTCCCAGGCAGGGGACGCAGCAGCGGGTGGGCCTTGGTGGTTGCTACGTTGGCGGGGATTAAAAAAACTACTTTTTGTTTGTTTTTATTTTTTAATAGTTGGAATAATGAGGTGCAAATTCTAATATATTAAAAAATATATTATTATTATTATTATTTTAATTGACACGTCGCTCATTTAACGGTTAACCATGAGAGTTGACCGCCACTTAGGACAAAGATAATAAAATTGGACGGAGAGTGACCAAATTAGAACGATTCAACTAATTTTAGTTATCACGAATGG